GTGTTATGTATCTGTGGGTGAAGGTACTGCAGACAAAGGGCAAAGGAGGAGGGAGTGAGGGCAGGCAGGGAGAGACCAGTGGCCAAGCCCCCGCCCCCTTCACCCAACCTCCCACCCTCCAACGTGGCAGCAAGGAGGCAGCCTATTTGATGACAAGGCCCCATGCTCCACCAGAGAGGACCTGAGATTGAAGAAATCCCATCAGGCCTTGAGTGGGGAACGGGTCTTGGCTCAATGGAGAGTTGCCTGCGCTAGCTGGCTCCTGAGGGACTGCTGGCTGGATCAGGGCTCCAGTTTTTTCCCATCTGAAAAGGAGATTAAATGCCTTTCCAAACTCTGTCCTATAATTAAAAGTGGATACTCTATAGTGTGACTAGCTCCTGCGCAACAGCCCTTAAATGTCACTCCTGTCTCCTCCCCCTCCTTCCGTGGACCATGGCACAGTCCAACAGAACCTGGTTCAGGTTCCACTCCTGACTCTAACTTGCTATGTGACCTTGAGCATGTCGCCTAGCCTCTCTGATCCTCCATTTAAAAGCAGGAGATTTCTTACTTCCTGTGGATTAAATGTGGCACCGTGTTTGACACTTACACGACATGTTAGCCCCTGTCTAGGGTTCTGTGGGGTGTAGAATTTGCCAATCTAGCCCCTGGGTGTAGAATTTACCAATCTAGCCAAAGAAAGATGCTTCCGTAATACCTGGTGGGCCTGGGCCTGTCTAGCTCACCGGGAAACAGGGAAGATGACTGGCCCTCTATGGGCTTCAGTTTTCCTCTGCGTCCGGTGAATGCAGTGGGACTCAGGTGTTTTTCTTTCCTGTATCTTGGGATGTCCCAGAGACCTCCACCTGGGCTCTTGCACAGCAGGGGCAGTAACAGCAGGGCGCTGAAGGCACTGGAGGAGCCCACACACAAAAGTCCACGCACTAGCGTGTCTCTAGAGTGTGGGGGGAGGGCACAGTCCAGGCGCAGTCCTCTGAGCCTGGAATGGGCTCAGTGCTAAGAATAATGTGGCAAAGGCTCTTGACTTTTTCTTTTTTTTTTTTCTGATCTGGGAGATTTAAAGGCGCCCTTACCATTTTGTCTTCAGGGAGACCAGGCCTGGATCGCTGTTCAGGCAGCCACTTCCCATCATGCTCTCAGGGGCTGGCTGACCCGAGACCCTTTGATGCCTGCTTTATGCAGGTGCTGGGGACTCAGGGGAAGGAGAAGGCTGTAGCCTTCCAGAGCCCCCAGGGACACTTCTTGAGCATACAGGGGGAGGCCAGGGCAGTGACAGGCTGCAGAGGCTGTTGTGCTGCTGCGAGGGCATGGGACACTGACAGGGTCTTTCTGAGCCTCAGTTTCCCTACCTGTAAATAGAGAGAATTGCTTCCTTTTACTCTATCTGAAGTGGGACAGTCATTAGCACTCTCAGTTTATCCCCTCAAGAGCTGGTGAGGCTGTGGAGGAAAGGAAGTCTTTGTGGGAGTGGGAATATTTGTGAGGTTTCAATATCTGGACCTGTTAGAAACCAAGGTGAACCTTTCCTTAACTCACTGAACAAATGGTGAGCCAAATCCCAGAGGCCCTTGCTGGCCCGGGGTCCAGGCTGGCTATCTTCCTGGATAGCTAGGACTTATCCTCAGGAATAAAGTCCCTGGATGGTGCATGCTCTCGACTGCTAACAGCAAGGTTGGGGTTCGAGTCCACCAAGAGGGACCTGGAAGAAAGGTCACTGAAAACTCCCCGGGAGAGCCCACTTCTACTCTGACACATGCACCTCTCAATGAGTCGCAGCTAACGAAACTCCTGTTGTTTTAATCCTTAGAAGTCATGCACAGCCAGCCGTGCAGGAGGAAGCTGGACCTTCACCCTGGAGAGACTCGCCATCACTCCAAGGTCAGAGAGTTTAGTGGCCAGTAACAAAAAAAGAACTTGTTATGAAGGAAGTGAGCTCCCTGTGCCTGGAGGTACCTGGATGCTCACGTTTTTGGCGATTTCTGCCTGGGCCTGCAGAAATATGCTCTGAGATGCTTTCCAACCCAGAGCTTCCCTTGACTGAGAATTGAACCTTCCGAGACTCATAGCTGCCAGTCTAAGGTATCATATCCCACGATGGTCACTTGAGACGCCTAGTCCTTGGTGATGCTTTGACCTTGATTCTGAGCCTGATGCTTTGGGGTCCAAGGCTCCCCACAGTCCCTGATATCAGATATCTTTTAGCAGCGGGGAGGAGTCGTGGTGCCACCGTGGTTATGAGCTTCGCTGTTCACTGGAAGTCAGCTGTAGGACCCCACCAGCCATTCCACGGAAGAAAGAGGTGGCTGTCTGCTTCCAGGAAGAGCACCCCCTTGGAAACCCTATGGGGGCAGTTCTAAATGTCCTGTCAGGTCCCTACGATCTGGATTGGACACGTGTTTTGAACATCAGTGGCCTAACCCAGGCAGACCATCACCAAGGAACCCCTGCCCGCAGCCCCCAGTGAGGCTGGAGACCCAAGTGAATCCTGTGCAGGTGCTGGGAATCCTGTGTGCTTCAGGATTCGCACGCACGCACCTGGAAGAGAGAAGGTTCTCAACACAATCTGATTCCACACGTGAATGAATGAGTGAGTGGCTGGGCGTCCACATTGTGTCCTTGGGCCCATTTCTTTATGAAAGTAGATAGCACGGGGGCGAGGGGAGGCAGGTCGGGGTTATCTACTCACATGCACACCCTCCTTACAATGTGCATTCTTGAGGGCAGGGACAGTTGTCTGTCCTCGCCCAGTAATGAATACCCAGCTTCACTCAGAGCAAGGCGCTATCTGTTGTGGTTCAGCAGGAGGGAGGAGTTGATAGTGAAGCCGAGATTCTGTGGGAGGGAACTCAGAAGGGGGGGGCAGGGATAACCGAGGAGAAAGAGATGTGGAAGAGAAGCAAGGGCCACATTTCAGAGGGCCAGAAAAGGGAAGTCACTTGTTTAAAGACACACAGCATTGTTAGTGGAGAAGCCAGGGCCCTATGGGTGCCCTCCTCCAGGCTCACTCAGCTTTCCTGGGTGTCTCTGGCTCTTGGGCTTCTGGGGTGCCAGTATGCTGTTGGGTCTGGTCTCAACCCTTCCCCTCACCACCCTGCCCCCCACAGCCCCCCTGGCTGGAGTGAGTCCAAGCTTAGTGATAGGAGTTCAGGGTGTCTCCTGAAGTCTGACCACCTCCTTTGAAACAGTGCAGAGTCCCCCC